AGAAACGGCGGGGGGCCCAGCAGTTTGCGTATTGGTTAAGGCGCCATCTCCCACATGGTCAACTGCAGTTCAACTTGAAACTCAAGCCAGGTGTGTGTGTGTGTGTGTGTGTGTGTGCGCCTAAAATCCCAAGAGGAGAATGGAGGAGAAGGGACTGTGGTGTGCCCATGCCCCCTGGGGGATGGCCTTTGACAAACACTCGCACCCTGTAGCAAAAAAAGAACCTCTTAATAAACACACACACAAAGAACTGAGAGGAGGGGACCAGCAGCAGTTACCATAATGGCGACATCACTGAACTCCTATGTGGTCAACTGTGGTTCGAGTTCTGGACCCAGTGGCTTAAACTCACGCTGGGCACGTGTGCGTGCGTGCCCAAGATCCCGAGAGAATGGAGAAGAGATCATAGCATGGCCATCCTCCCTAGGGGGTGATTTCTCACTTCCTGTCTCTCTGTCTCTCTCAAAAAAAAAAACCTCTCCAAAAAAAGAACTGAGAGGAGAATGGAGAAGAGATTGCAGCATGGCCATCCCCCTGGGGTTGATTTTCACTCTCCCTCCCTCCCTCTCTCTCTCTCTCTCTCTGCAAGCGCGCACACCGTATAACAAGTAAAAGAAAATAATAGCGACTAATCCATTACAGGACACATGGCTGGCCAGCCTTGCCACAAGCCTGGTTTAAACCAAATCTTTCCAGGCCTCGATTACTGTCACTGCCTGGAGGGGCAGCACAGCGGTGTCCCCTCTTGCTTTCATTTGACCGTGCTGAGTTAGAGGTGTCATCTGCATCGTAAGGTACATCCCTTCCTTTCTAACCGAGGCCGATCTTTGGGGCTCGGGCCCTGTGCCTGGGAGGCAGCGCGTCTCTCCACCTGGCTCGGGGCTCCCGAGGGAGGTGTGGCCCCACGGCTGTCTCTGCACTCTCACTGTACTGGGTCTCTTCACTGTGCGCGTGTGCACGCGTGTGCGAGTGCCCTGGGGGCTGCAGGAGCAGTACACGGCCGTGATGGAGGCAGAGCCTGCACCCAAGCAATGAAGCGGCCAAGGAAGCAGACTGGGCCGGGCGGAGGATGCGGAGGGACAGGCGAGGGACCGGCTGGGCTGGGAGAGCAGCTGGAGGAGCTGGCAGACACCGTGTGCGGCAGGGCGAGGGACCGTGTGTGCTGCAGCAGCTCGAACTGCAGGAAATGCGGTGGCCGTGGCCGGCTGCGGTAGAAGCAGAAGGTCACGAGTGAGCAGAAAGGGAACTAGTGTGTGTGAGTGCGTGTGCGCACGCGCTTGAAACACACTTTGGCCACGTTTCTTTAGGGCGTCTGTGCCTTTTTCTCAAACTGTTCATCCCCCGCCACCCCTAAGGTCTGGGCAGGTGGGCTTCTCCCCGCCAGAAAGCTTGTCGCGGCCCGGAAGGAGGGTGAGAAACCCGTGAGGCAGAGTAAGCCCCCACCCCTAGCTTTGGGTCTGGTCTGCCAAGATACCCTGGAGAGCCGGCAGTGGGCGTGGGCAGAGCGGGGAGAGCCAAGTTCGCTTTAAACATGACTCATTCCCAGGGTTTCTCAGGCCGGCCTGTTTGATCTCTGAGCCTGATGATGAAGCCTGCGTTGATATCATGCCAGCTGCTCCCCCTGGGGTAAAAGCGATTCTTTAACTTCCTCTGGAGCAGAGACTTGTTTTGCAAAACTCGAGCCCACGGTCTGCACAGCTGCCGACTCCTGCAGGCACAGGGGTAGGGATCGGAGTCAGCCCAGCCACAGGAGGGAGCTCCGGAGGCGTGGAGCCCCCGGACAAAGCCGCCCTGGAAACGTGTGGACAGGAAGTTGGCTCGCGCTTCACCAAGGGGGACAGTGTCCAGACGGGAAATCGGAGGGGCTGGCGTCTGGGCCGGTAGCGCCTGCCCAGCGTGTGGGGCTGGCCCGGAGATCAGCGAGGCAGAAGCAGCACGGCGGGCGCCGGACGGCCTCCCGGGGGCGGCTCAGGCGTCAGGGCTGCCGGGCAACCGGCGGCTTTCGGTTCTCATCACGTTCGTGTTCCCGCAGACGCAGAACGTCCAGCTGAACAAGGAGATGACCCTCGCCAGCAACCGGAGCCTGGCGGAAGGGAACCTCCTGTACCAGCCCCGGCTGGACGCTCCGAAGGGGC